GCAAGTTGCCAGAAATGTTATGCATAACCAGTGGTGAAATTAAGAGACATGTGCAACATCTGGGTATCTTTATTGTAGACGTTTCGCCATCCAGTGGCTTTATCAATACAAATTCCAGGACATAACTTGAAGACAGCAGAACTATATACAGAAAATGAAGTAATCAGTCCCTCAACCTTGGAGTTCGTGCGAAGAGCACTGTAGTTGTAGAGATTCTGAAGCAGAAGCAAGGAGCCTGGCGCTTTATACTATCGTCAGGTGGAAAGAGAACGTGTAGCAGACAGGGCATAGTCACTGGTAGGCGGGATTCCCCAGTGGAAGTAGGTCCTACCCAAAGAGATGGGTTAGTTGTAGTAGTAGTCGTCGTAGTCGTGAAGGTTATCTTGTCGGTATTGTATACCATTCTTGTACATAACCAGTGGTTTTCTGTATAGCATGCCAGTGATGTCAGCTAGGTTTATGTAAGTTGTATCATGTTCTTGTAGAAATGAAGATTATTATTATTGGTCAGCCTATATATATATATATATATATATATATATATATATATATATATATATATATATATATAGGGTGTCACTGCGCGAACATAGTCTAGTTATGTGATAAACTCAGGATGTATATCATAACGTAGTTAACAGTATTTCCCTACAATGAAAAATGATGAGAAATCCTACAAAAGCTGTGTGTCGGGAGGGTTCGTGGAGATGTGATGGTTACACTTATATTAGAGTGTGAGAGGGAGAGGCCTAGCCTGCATATATTGCCTGTAGACCTAAGTGTGGAGAACTGAGAGGGAGGCCGGATGCGCAGCGCTCTCATGCGGGATCACGTGACGTCACACAAGCTAGTCACTGAGCCTAACAAGGAGTCAACTATGTAAAACATATAGATGGTACTATGATACTCAGATAACATATACATATATAGGCGATCAGCAACTATGCTGACACGTGAAGCATTGCATACTTTGGGAGGTTGGCTAACAAATCTACATCATTGGCAAGTACCTGAAGCTAGTTGGAAAAAAATACATTTGTATAGTAAAGGTAGATCTTTTATGTGATCATATATTTTATTGTTACTTGTGGTTACATTTATGCCAAATTTTTTCTGCCTCTTCTGGCACCATATATGAAAAATATTTATACTATAATTCTTTAAAAACTGTAAGTAGATGAGGATGTCTAGAGCAGCTTAGTATCATTGTAATGAAAATGTAACTTACATGAATGTGTGCGTAACATTTTTTTTTTTAATTTAGCCAAATTAGGTACATCCACATTGTGCTAGCTACATTTTGGGAACAAAAGTTATGAGTGTTTGCCTGTTCGTTAGCGGAGGGAGGGGGGGTTGGTGGCACTAGTGCAGTAACACCTGCTGGTCCTCCCTCCATGCTAGGGGGGCCACCGGAAGTACCATTCACGCCACTCTTCAACACAGGCTCCTCAACACGTCACTGCTCCACCACTACTTTCCTTCACAGTCCACATCTTCACCACATACTCTTTAACACTCCACTGCTCCACATCCCCTCAAGGGAGGTTCCTTGATACTGGTGAGGGGCTCTTGATCTAGGGAATTGGATGTGTGCCCCAGTTCCCTGAATTGAGCCTGAATGCCCTCCATCCCCCCCACATGCGCTGTATAATCCTATGGGTTTAGCGCTCCCCCATGATAATAATAATCCACTGGCCCACCATCACTACTACGCCACCACCACCACACTCCCCCTCCCCTCCTCCTGCAGATAATCAAGAGAAACTAAACTTCAAACCAAGTTTCCTATAACCAGTGCATGGATTCGTTAGGAATTTTGCTAAACTCGTGTTTTGAGATATAAAACTTTAGCATATCCCTGCTATAACGAATTCTCTGTGTGAATATAATGCAGAGAATTCGTAGTTTGGAAGTTAGGAGGAGGTGCGGGATTACCAAAACTGTTGTCCAGAGGGCTGAGGAAGGGTTGTTGAGGTGGTTCGGACATGTAGAGAGAATGGAGCGAAACAGAATGACTTCAAGAGTGTATCAGTCTGTAGTGGAAGGAAGGCGGGGTAGGGGTCGGCCTAGGAAGGGTTGGAGGGAGGGGGTAAAGGAGGTTTTGTGTGCGAGGGGCTTGGACTTCCAGCAGGCATGCGTGAGCGTGTTTGATAGGAGTGAATGGAGACAAATGGTTTTTAATACTTGACGTGCTGTTGGAGTGTGAGCAAAGTAACATTTATGAAGGGATTCAGGAAACCGGCAGGCCGGACTTGAGTCCTGGAGATGGGAAGTACAGTGCCTGCACTCTGAAGGAGGGGTGTTAATGTTGCAGTTTAAAAACTGTAGTGTAAAGCACCCTTCTGGTAAGACAGTGATGGAGTGAATGATGGTGAAAGTTTTTCTTTTTCGGGCCACCCTGCCTTGGTGGGAATCGGCCGGTGTGATAATAAAAAAAAAAAATAATAATATATATATATATATATATATATATATATATATATATATATATATATATATATATATATATATATATATATATATATATATATATATATATACATATATATACAGTGGACCCTCGACTAACGCTATTAATCCGTTCCTGAGAGCTCATTGTTAGTCAAAATAATCGTTAGTCAAGTTAATTTTCCCCATAAGAAATAATGGAAATCAAATTAATCCGTGCAAGACACCCAAAAGTATTGAAAAAAAAAAAAATTAACACATGAAATATTAATTTTAATACACACAAACTGAAGAAGACATGCACAGTTTCATGACACTTACCTTTATTGAAGATCTGGTGATGATTGATGGGATGGGAAGAGGGGAGTGTGTTGATGGTCTTAGTGTTTAGAAGGGGAATCCCCTTCCATTAGGACTTGAGGTGGCAAGTCCTTTTTCGGGGTTACTTCCCTTCTTTTAATGCCACTAGGACCAGCTTGAGAGTCACTGGACCTCTGCCGCACAACATATCTGCCCATAGAGGCCTGTACCTCCTGTTCCTTTATGACATTCCTAACGTGTTTCACAACATTGTCAGTGTCACCATTAAACACTTGTTCAGGTTTCAGTCCTTCACTGTCTATGTACTCCTTGAATTCCTGCACATATTTTTCAGCTGTTTTTTGGTCCAAACTGGCAGCCTCACCATGCCTTATCACACTATGTATGCCACTACGATTCTTAAATATCTCAAACCAACCTTTGCTGGCCTTAAATTCACTCACATCACCACTAGTTGCTGGCATTTTTCTAATTAAATCATCATGCAACTTCCTAGCCTTTTCACATATGATCGCTTGAGAGATGCTATCTCCTGCTATCTGTTTTTCGTTTATCCATACCAATAACAGTCTTTCAACATCTTCTATCACTTGCGATCTCAGTTTCGAAAACATAGTTGCACCTTTGGCAAGAACAGCTTCCTTGATTGCCGTTTTCTTGGCCACAATAGTAGCGATGGTTGATTGGTGTTTTGTGTATAGCCTGGCCACTCCACTTTCATACTTAGCAATGATCTCTTTCTTCATATCCATAGTAATTCTCACCCTTTTTGCTGTAGGGTTGGCACTAGAAGCTTTCTTGGGGCCCATGGTGACTTATTTTGCAGGTGTAATCACTAAAAAGGCTGTGATAATATGAAATGTTCCGATTGTATGCTTGGAAGCGACCGCGGTGGCTGGCTGGCTTGTAAACACTGGCCAGAAGTGGACGCCTCTCAGACGGAAGGAATAGTGTTGGTCGAGTTTTTTAGCGCTAATCGAGGCAAAATTTTTGCGGTAAAATGTATCGCTAGTCAGATTTATTGTTAATCGATACCATCGCTGGTCGAGGGTCCACTGTGTGTGTGTGTGTGTGTATATATATATATATATATAATGTGGGGGTGAGAGGTATGTGGGACTTTATTTGGCCGTGCGACTGAAAATACGCATAGTTTTTTGTGGTTGTAAAGTGACGGGGTGGGTGTTATTTTAATCATGAAAAGCTCAAAACCCGTAAGGGTAGTATACTACATGAGAAATAGAGGTGTGTGCGCGTGCGTGAGATTGCCGGGTGAGTGAAGACCTTGAGCGCACGCGCCTGCCTGGGTGGGGGAGGGAGTGCCATCACTACAGTATTCCCAGGGTCCCAGTCTTACCTTTATTTAAGACCTCTCGGCTATACTTGGGACATTGAGGTAACATTTTATTTAGACGCTTATGTCAAGGATACTTTAATCTCTAAGATAAAGATTAAAATATGCTCACAGTATACGGTAGACAATGATACCTCTCAGTATATGTACTCTGAGACACAGTACTTGACTAATTGTACCCATGTGGTTGTGGTTGCAAGTGCCATTACCCTTCCCCATTTTAACTTTAAGACCAATTGTATTAGTTTCCTGCATGAAGGCCCTATGTTACCCATGTTTAAAACTGTGTAGTGTTTGCTTCTTCCACATGCTTGTTTAAGTTATTCCACTTCCTAACCACTGTTTCTGTCGACACTATCAAGTCATTTAGGTATCTTGTACAACGTTATGTCTTCCTTGGCCTTTCTTCTCTCCAAGATTATCAAATTAAGTTCTAGTCTTTTCTCATAGGTTACTTCCCTCAGCTTTGGGTTGAATCTTTGGTTGCAGGGCAGCGTTGCATTCTCTTTTGATAGGGTTGACATTTCATACTGTATTTAATGAATAATTCTTTGTTAATTTTTCAGAACTTCATTCTCAGGCTTGCTAGGTGTGCATGTTCTTTCAGTGCTATTGTGTTGTTTCCACGATAGCCCAGCACCAATGTGTTTGGTATTAAGCCTCATCCCAAAATTTACAATATTTTAACTACATATACCTTAAATAGGAAAAGGTTTTGTAACGAAATAAGTTGTATCATCATTATGTGGTGTTAGTATTTTCCCATGCTGCCCAATGTTATTGCTGTCATTATAGTATTGAAAAGCCTCTTATCATTTCACATCATAGTAAGTCAAAGCAAACGTAATATACTGTACTGTACTTTGAATATTTTCAGATGTGTATCAAGAGATGGCAGCAGCTGTGGTGGGCGCACATCTCGTACCAGGGTGAGCAGTTCATCTGAAATTGCCTCTCCAGATCCCAGAAGACCTACAGTGCTGAGACCGCCTCGCCAGGTACTTCTAATTGTTGTAAAGTATATACGTACTGTGTGTGTGTGTGTGAAGTAGATAGATTACTAAATTTAGAAAGAAAGACTTCGGTGTTAAAAAAAAATATATACATGTATGTGATCTCACACATGCACACCTATGCACATACACTAACACTCACTCTGTATACATAACTGTGTTTGTTATGTAAGTTATGTAACCTTACCAGATTTTACCTAACCTTAGTGCAGAACAAAAATTCGCACTAGAAATACTTATTCCATGATGTACATGGGTTGTATGCATGTTTTAAATAATCACCGGGTTTTGTCAAGTACTTGTCGGTAACTATAGCCATATCATATTTCTCATGTATTTCATTGACTTAATCTGTATACAATTTGAATGTGGGAATTGTTGTTATTGTTTAAAAGGCTACATGAGTATTAGAATTGTAGATAATGTGCATTTCCTGATTTTCAGCTGTTCCCAAAGGCAAGTAATTTTTCTAATAGATTTTTGTTGAATTAATTTATTCTAGTATTAAGAACAGAAATGTTGATTAACTAGTACAGGTCGGCCATCACTAATCTGGCATCGTTGGGACCTGTAGTGTGCCAGATTAGTGAGTTTGCCGGATTACAGAGGTGTTAGGTTAGAATATACTTAATTAACCTATTAATAGAGAGACTTTCTGCTACATCTTCCTCATTTTCATCACTGCTTTCTCCTCCACTGACCTGCTGCTGTCGATTTACAATCATTTGCACAATTTCTAAGTCAGTATAATGATGAAATTTGAAATTATGCTAGCCAAAATTGGTGCCAGATTACTGATGGAACTGGGTAACTGATTGCCGGATTAGTGATGCCCGACCTGTAATATATATCGATAAGGCATACACACTAAACTGTAGAAAAAGTATTCAGAAATGTAGATAGATGGCCCCCCCCCACATCAGATAGTCATTGGATAGACATAAATAGCAGTGATTTAATTAATGTTAAAATAATATTTATAGACAGTTGATAAGATATTTAAAATTTAACTGCTTCAGTGATTTTCCTCCACATTACATACAGTGAAAAAAATAAAAATATATTAGAAATATACTAAGAGTTTTAGTGTAAGGTCTAGAAATTGTTTTCTTTTTTAGGGTGGTGTATTGGAGGTAGAAGGTGGTGGTGTGTGCATTGACCGTACCTCATACCATTATATGTGCCAGGATGTTACTGCACTTAAGACAATGTTGTTGCGTCTCAGAAGAGTTCTGCAGGCAGCGGAAACTATTAACCCATTCGATGCCAACTTGAGGGTCAGTAAACCTTTTATTTTTTTGTGGTTGTGACATTTGAATTGTTGAATAATAAAACTAGGTTTTATAAGTGTAGTAAGATGCATGTTAAGGGTAATATTGTATCCTAAACTTCCTAAGATTAAATAGTAAGTTAAATTTGTTTATGGTAGTTAACCTCTTTTTGTGTGCTTTAGTTATAGATGTAATTATTCAGTTATTTTTGTAATATATGTTACATAAGTTTGATAAATTTGGAGAACATGTTTGTATTTTATTTAGTCATTTAGTCTACATGGGAGCCCTTAAAAATCAGTTACAATGATGTATACTAACAAAACTCACACACTGAGTGTCTGGGGTTCGATCCCCAGTACTGGTGGAAATGTTGGGCCTGTTTCCTTGCATCTGCTGTCCCTGTTCACCTAAAAATGTAAAATTATAGAATTATGCAGGTGCAAAGTTGGTGGTCTAGGCACAATTTATGCATCAACAATTTTGCCCACTTTGATTCCTATTGCAAACCAATTCCATTCCTCATTTCAACCAAATTCCTGTCTATTTCACTAGTATGCCTTTTGTTCTATTGATTAAGTACAAAAAAGCTGCCTATACAACTATCAGAACAACTCGATGAAGTGCACAGAAGTCAATTTGGCCAGTTTTACACAAAATTCAATAAATTCCAATTAAAAAACAGACCAGAATAAACACTGAAGGCATTGCTCTGTTCATTAATCATTTTCCCAGGCCCCTCCTAGACAACATTTGCCCTTCATTTTGAATCTTTCATCACAAAAAATCAGTGTTTTACCATATTTCTCAGATAATAAAATATAGCAAAAAATGATTGGTTGTGGTTTAGGCCATCACCATAATTGAAGCAGACTTAATAAAAAACATTAAACAGACTGGAGGAGGGCTCTTCCCTTCCTCAGGAAACCCACCAAAAGTTGAATATTTCTTCTACTTTGAGTGCTATCTCAGGCTACTTGCAGTTCTGGAACTGACCAAAATCTCTATTTTACTAGTATGTCTTCCATTCTTCAATTGATACTCAGAAATAGCTAATAAAACCACCCTAAAAAAACATTTCAAATTTGCTATTTTAAATGAAACAAAGCTGAGGTTTGCTTTTTTCATCTTGAACTTCATGGTGGCAGGATTTTTTTTACACTGTACACTATTCACACAGACTCATTATCTCATATCTAGGTCACAATTTACTTCATTTGAGGGAACTGTGCTTAAAACATATTTATGTGAGCACCACTGTCGTCAGTCATGTAGTTCTGTGTATGAGACAGTGAAAGAGTTAATAGAGATGCAGATTATCAGACAGAAAGAAAAATATACTTAATACATTGTTTTACATGTATCTTATTAAAGTTACTAACTTCTCTCAGAAGAGAGTTCTGTAGAGAGACAAGAAAATTAGAAATAATACCCAGTATATGGGTAGAATATTGTATGTAATATAACTGCTTATATATACAATTATTTTTCCTTCAGTATCTTTATTCCATGACTGTAAATAGGATTTTCTGGGGCATGTTATACTCTCTTTTTTTTATTATTATTATTATTATTTTTTTACCATCATATATAGTGGTTTTTCCCATCACTTTTAACTTTCGTACTTCACTCCTGTGTATGTTCCTTGCAAACTTATCATCGGTCATTCAGATTACAGTATGCTTTGAGTGTTTCTTGAGTACTAAAGTTGATCCTCAGCTAGTTTTTCCAGTACAACTAAAACAGTGCAGAATGTACAATATGAAACAGCTTGTATTGAAATTTCTCTTTCAGAACTCCCTGTACTTGAGCCTGGCCAGTAGTGATTTGCCAGGAGGGACTGGCATCAATGGGGATAAAGATTCACTTACACCATCAGTAACAGAAATATCTCAAGAAAATGTTGACCTTAGAAGACAGGTTTGTGGATCTTTAGTATACCATGTGGTAGAGCATCTTGTAAACATGTTTTATATTCAGTATACAGTATCTTTTTTAATGTGTTAATTTTGAACTCAGCACTTACAGGTTTATATGTGTGCATGGAATTTAGGAGAAATAATTGATTAACACAAGCAAATTAAAGTCATGTGAAGGTTATGAGATCTTGTATACTGCAGGGGGCTTAGACATCCAGCAAGCGTATATGCTTGTGTTAAATAGGAGTGAGTGGAGGCAAGTGGTTTTTATGACTTGACATGCTGTTTGAGGGTGAGCAAGGTAATGTTAATGAAGGGATTTAGGGAAACTGATTAGCTGGTTTTCGGTCATGAAAGTGGAAAGTACAGTGCCTGCACTCTGCAGGAGGATTGGGGATATTTGCAGTTTTGAACTGTAGTATTGGTGTGCATCTGGCAACACAGTGATGGAGTGAGTATTCTTGAAAGTATTTCTTTTTTTTCACAGTGATGGAGTGAGTATTCTTGAAAGTATTTCTTTTTTTTCACAGTGATGGAGTGAGTATTCTTGAAAGTATTTCTTTTTTTTCACAGTGATGGAGTGAGTGTTGGTGAAAGTGTTTCTTCTTTTTCAGGTCACTCTAACACAGTGGGAGACGGCTGGTGTGTTAAAAAAGATTGTGCTTCTCATTATTACTAATAAGTGGTTTGAAATGAGTGTACTTTTGTACAACATTCCTTATAATTACATGAGAGCAGATGTGAAATTCCATTGTTCCCTCTTTTTATTGGAAACCATTCATTTATTCAGTTTTGTATTAAACTGTCATGGAAGTCAGTTTTTTTATTTTGTGTCAAAACTGGTGGTGCTATTTGTTGAGCATGTTTCCAAATGAAAGGTTAGTCACTAGCACTAGATACAGTTAATAGAAAATGTATCAAAGATAAATGTATGTAAACTTATTTTTCTAGGTGGTGCTGCTACAACAGCAATTGGAGGAACGTGATCGCACCATAAGGCTTTTACAGCAACAACTAGCACAGAGTATAGGAAATCAGCACCCAACTTGCACCTCCCATGATACTAAAGATTCACAAGACACCGTTAATGCAGCTACTCAAACAGATCGTTCAGCTCGCCCAACTTTAACAGGCTCAAGCCTCTCAAGGGCAGCTTCTATCGATGATGGACTCGGACCAACTGTCAGGTGAGCTTTGATACCTGCTCTAAAACAAACTAAAATTAAGTTAGTTATGCCTGAAAGGGATGATTGGCTTAATACAAATTACTGATAGTTATTTTCCTATAAGACTGCACTGGAAGAAATAGTATTGCAATTAGTATTTATGATAACATTCATTTGGCTGTGGCTTTTTGATTGTTTAATTATTTCACTGCTGTTTTATACATAATGCACACACACACACACTCACACATATACACATGCATACAGTCGAACCTATTGTGAATATTTTAATAATAGTAATAATAATGTAATAATAATACTAGTACATTACTGGTTTTTACAAAGATTTCTTTAGTTTTAACCTTTTCACTGTCGAGAACCCCAGCAATTAAAAGTGCTTACAGTGTCAACATTTAAAAAAAAAATTATTTTGAAATGGTAGAGAAATTTTTTCTGAAAATAATGACACCAAGAATACAAAATTTGGTGGAAAACTTATGGAATTACATAGATGCAGAGTTAATGGTCTGGGTGTAAAATACTCATCAGTGATTTCACCCACTTTGAGTCCTATTTTAAGTCGATTCCATTTCTAGTTTGATCAAATTCTTAGTTATTTTGCTAGTATGTCTTCCATTCTATTAACTGATCGTTTAACTGCTCCTTTAATTATTATAACTACCCTATAAAGTACACAGAAGTTGGTAATTTGGTTAATTTTGCACAAAATTAAAAGAAATCCATTCCATGCACAAAAATAATATTTCCTCTGTTCATTAATCATGTCCTCATACCTCTCCTGTATTACAGTTGCCCTCCATTTTGAATTCACCACACAAAAAATCAAAAATTTTTCTCAGATAATAAAATATAACGAGGAATAATTGGTCATGGTTTACAGTGTTCATATAATTAAATCAGACCGGTAAAAAACATAAAAAAAAAAAACAGACTTGTGGGGGGAGGGCTTATTTGCCCCCAGGAAAACCGTTAAAAATTAAAAAAAAAAAAAAAATTTAAGCTACTTTCTGTTCAGAAACCAAACAAAATCATCTCTATTTCAGTGGTATATCTTCCATTCTACCAAATGATTCCAAGAAACAAACAAACAAAACCATAAAAACCATCCTCGGAAATTTCCCAAATTTGCTATTTTAAACCAACTGCACTGCGTGGGGCAGGATTTTTTTTTTATTCTGTGCACACTTGCTGCATAGACATCATCTCATGTCTAGGTCAGAATTTACTGCTCACAGCTTATTTGATTGAGCTGAGCTCAAAATGTAGATCTACATATGAAACCCTGGATTCAGTAACGTAGATCTGTGTAAGAAACCCTGGCTTCAGTAACATAGATTTATGTAAGAATCCCTGTCTTCAGTAACGTAGATCTGTGTAAGATACCTGGTTTCACTAACATAGATCTACGTAAGAAACCCAGGCTTCAGTAACATTGATCTATGTAAATAACCCTTGCTTCAGTAATGTAGATCTATGTAAGATACCTGGCTTCACTAACTTAGAGCTACATAAGAAACTCTGGCTTCAGTAATGTAGATCTACATAAGAAACTCTGGCTTCAACAGTGTAGATCTATGTAAGAAACCGTGGCTTCAGTAACATAGATCTGTGTAAGAAACCCTGGCTTCAGTAACGTAGATCTACATAAGAAACCCTGGCTTCAGTAATATAGATCTGTGTAAGAAACCCTGGCTTCAGTAACATAGATCTGCATAAGAAACCCTGGCTTCAGTAATGTAGGTCTACATAAGAAACCCTGACTTCAGTAATATAGATCTGTGTAAGAAACCCTGGCTTCAGTAACGTAGGTCTACATAAGAAACCCTGGCTTCAGTAATATAGATCTGTGTAAGAAACCCTGGCTTCAGTATCATAGGTCTACATGAGAAACCCTGGCTTCAGTAACATAGATCTGTGTAAGAAACCCTGGCTTAGTAACGTAGATCTATGTAAGAATTCCTGGCTTCAGTAATGTAGATCTATGTAAGAAACCCTGGCTTCAGTAATGTAGATCTACATAAGAAATCCTAGCTTCAGTAACAGATCTATGTAAGAAATCTTGGCTTCACTAATTTAGATCTACATAAGAAACCCTGGCTCTAGTAATGTAGATCTACATAAGAAACCCTGGCTCCAGTAATGTAGATCTACATAAGAAATCCTAGCTTCAGTAACAGATCTATGTAAGAAATCTTGGCTTCACTAATTTAGATCTACGTAAGAAACCCTGGCTTTAGTAACATAGATTTATGTAAAGAACCCTTGCTTCAGTACCTTAGATCTACATATGAAACCCTGGCTTCAGTTATGTAGATCTACTTAAGAAACCCTGGCTACAGTAACATAGATCTACATAAGAAACCCTGGCTTCAGTAATGTAGATCTACGTAAGAAACCCTGGCTTCAGTAACGTAGATCTACCTATGAAACCTGGCTTCAGTAATGTAGATCTACCTAAGAGAGTGAATGGGCTAACCATACTGATAATCTAAATTTTTTTTTTTTTCAACAAACCAGCCGTATCCCACCGAGGCGGGGTGGCCCAAAAAGAAAAACAAAAGTTTCTCTTTTTAAATTTAGTAATCTATACAGGAGAAGGGGTTACTAGTTCCTTGCTCCCTGATAATCTAAATACGGTATTAATAATGGTAACCTAACTGCAAAAAATTGGTAATACTGTAGTATGAAAAAGATTTTCTATACTGCCATGGGTCTAATGACTTTCCCCAGGCTGTTTCATAAAAGTCTTATGAAAATGAATAAGGAAATAAAGGCAGTTTAATCAAGTTGAATGAGGTCTCTTTCTGTATTTGTGTACTGCAGAATCCCTTCAAGAAAAACAGTGATACAGGTGAAGGGCTCTTCAACTAGGAAAATGGAGCTATCTTTTTTTTTCCTTGGATCAAAGCTGATTACCTCCCATTTCCCAGGTTCTGTATGACCCCTATGGGTTTAGCGCTTATTCATGAATATCACAATAATAATAGAGTGCGAAATCTTCATACACTATGCCAGGCATGAATTGAAAATGGGTTTAAATATACATTTTTGTAGAATTGTATTATGTTCTTTATGAGACTTTTTCATACCAGTAATTTCCATAAAAATAACACTCCTCTGTTTAACCGTACCTGTGAATTTTTTATCTGAAATTTTTAGCGCTGAAAAATAAACAAATACACTGGAAGGTTAATTAAAAATTATTTAGCTTGATGATATAAATTTTGGATGTAATTCATACCATAGTTGTTGCTTATAGAACGTAAGTTTCATGTGTCATTACTATAAATTATAAACTACACCAAGGTTCTACTATGTGTGTGATGTTTTCTTTCTTTTCTTATAGTTTTCTTTATTTTTATTAATATTTTGAGGCAAAGTGCTTCCTTTAAGTTTGAGTGACTTGTGACTTTAGGCTTGCAGCCTGGTTACCTACATTTCTTTACTGTTTTAGTTAAACCACTAAAAATTTATTGCTACCTGGTATTTTTTTTACTAGTATGAATTCCTTTAGTAAAGTGGATATTCACTGTTAAAAGGAAAAGTATGTGTCTAATGAATAAGGCATGAGTTTAAGATCTTCCAGTTGAAGAGATGTAGAGCCTTACCCAGAGGGATCACAGATAATGAATATTTATGATGCTCTTATTGGTTTAAATGTGTATAAATTGGAAATTATATTAGAATCATCTGCGTTAAATATTGCTGTTGCCTTAGTGTAACTCAGCTCTATCTGATCATGTCATCTCACTCACAAGCTTCCGGCTGGGCAAGGTAAAGTGTCCATCTTATGTTGACGTTGTGCTTGGTTCTCTCACACTGTGTTCTGTCTTGCTGCTGGTTGCTGTGCCTGCTACATACCCAAACCTCCACTTGCTTCACTTTGTGCTCACAATATGAGCTAGTCTCTTAAAAAAAAAAAACTGACAAACCTCGTTAAGATCTTGATATTTTTTATATAAAATCTATGCTGGTTTTAATTTTAATACTGTATAAAAATATTTAAAACATTGAGGTGGCTTTTGCATTAAATGCTGCAGTAGCTATCTAACACTTGAGCATAGTGTTATTATTTTGGTAATACAGTAGGTTTCACTCTCTAGTAGGCATTTGCCGTTCTTATAATTATGCAAGTTTGTGTATTCCTGAAATGGTCTTTTCATTGCTGTTTTATGCCAAGTTATAAAATGAAAGTTACATTTATATAAAGCAATAGAATGTTCAATTATAATAAATTGTTTCATGCCATATTTTGTACATGCCAAAGATATTTTAAATAATTGTATAAATAGTATTTCAAGATCAAGACGATGTTTTCTTTCTGCTTTTGTCTTCCCTTTTTTCCCACTGCTTTTAAATGCTGCAGTGCCTTTGTTTCTATTAATGTGTAGGAAAAGAGAGGTTCTTATTTTATATGTAGTGCTTGATTTGAAGTCTTCCTTCTTGTGGACAATGAAGATCCTCAGTCACAACCCCACACTGACTAGGTTTCACACTAAAAACTGAAAAATCTTCATTGGTACCTTATAATAATGTAAGGTGATGAAACTGTTGCATGTGGATGTCTTGGACAAGAAATTGTTAGAAATTTGGCCCACTTAACTGATAAAACCAAAAAGACAAAATACATTATTGCCATGGTTATTATTTTAATCAGCAGATAATTGGACTAGGCCTTCAGATGGTCTCTCATGTCATTTATTTTCATATCTAATTATTTATAAAGCATATACATTATACTGGTATGCTTCATAAAATGGAAGCAAAGTATGTATTGAGATTTTTGCTTCAAAATACTGTACAGTACATGGTTGTATAAGTGTGATAATTCCCATGTTAAGTAACAATATGCACTTTTGTTTTATTATATAATGTTGATAATGACATTTGTTATCTTTATTGGCTGAGAAGGCTTAGGAGATTTTTTTTAGTAATCATTTGGTGCTAATAGTTCTAAGCTAAGTTCTTACATATATATACATATATATTATGGAACAATT